GTCTGCCACAATTTCTCAATCTTGGCTTGAGACCTTTGCTAAAGTTGGGAAGCAGATCAATAATTTTCTTCCAAATTGAACATCCCAGCGAGGAAGGGGAGGAAGTGGTTATCCAATTTCCTCTATCCTCACCATACTTAGCAGCATTAGGCCTCTCCGCTAACTGTTTCTCTCAATCCCAAACCTCCAGAGCCACTTGCCAAGAAAAGCCATGTTAAAAACCTCAAGTCTCCTAAACCCTAAACCCCCTTAATCCACATGGGAGCAAATTTTATCACAGCTTACAAAATGGATATTTTTTTTCCCTCTTCCCAAYCCTTCCACAAGAAAAATCTCTCTGCAGCTTTTCTAACCTTGATGCCACCTTTACAGGGATTGGAAAGAGAGAAAGAAAGTAGGATGGCGGATTGATCAAAGAGCTCTTTAAAAGAGTAATTCTGCCACCAAGTGAGAGGTATTTTGCCTTCCATGAGGAAAGCTTCTTCTCAAGCCTTTCCAAAACAGGATCCCAAATTAAAGCTGAAGTACACTTTGCACCCAGAGGAAGGTCTAAATTACTTGTGGGAAGATACCTACCCTGACAGAATTCCAGCTAAAGATTCAACATTTCCACATTGCCCGCAGGATCAAATAGCTTTTATTCCAATTGACCTTTAAACCAGAGACAACTTCAAACCAACAAAGAACCCCCAAAAGCACCTGCAACTGCTCTTCCTCTACATAATGAAGCACAAAGTATCATTTGCAAATTGAAGAATGTGGACCTTTTCACCACCTGGAACTACAGCAAAACCTTCTAAAAACCTGCTTTCCCCACAAGGTGAATGAAGAGACTCAAAACTTCCCTCAGGCAGATGAACAGGAGAGGGGAGAGTGGGTCACCTTGGCTGATTCCCCTAGAATTTTTGAAAAAACCTGAGGACTAACCATTAACAGGGATGGAGAATTTTGGAGTCGTAATACACACCATCCRATTCCTCCACTTCTAGCCAAAATTCATCTTCTCAAGAAATGGTGAAACCACTTCTCACTTATATCCTTTTCTTTTGTGGCTTGTATTTGGGTGTGCATTTTCTCTCTCTTTAGTTGCAGGTGGGATCCTCCACAAGATATCACAACCTTGTTCGGCTCAAGGTTTTTCAGACAAACAAAAAAGAAGGGAAGACTTCTTTGGAAAGCAACCAGGGCAGCAACAATTTGGACAGTTTGGGAAGAAAGAAATGAAAGAATAGTCAAGGAAAAGAGCAGGG